TGCGTGGATAAAAAAACAACATAGAAAAACAACCTAGAAACCGAAAAGCCCTTTAGCCCGTTGACTTGCGTGTTAGGCGTGTCTCATCGGTGCTGATCTCACTTACACTATCTTTCGGGCAGAGGTAGAACCAGGCGAGTAGGTGGGCGGGCAGCGGCGACATCAGCGCGGGACGGCCATGTAAGATCGCTGGGGATGTCTTCTTCGCTGCGAACTGCGAGTTGGTCCACACCCTTAGGAGGACCGCCTGTCTTTGCACTAAGTAGGTTTCCCCATTTTCACATGGTGGTAAGCTCGCACATGGATTCTGGAATAAAGGATAAAAGCATTTGCCGTTGATCAATCCCTTTTTGGGATGCGGCACGCATTCTACTTCCATTTGTACATTCGTAGTGGCGTTTGAATGCGATGTGGCCTATACAATGACTTGCGGGGGCCAGCCGATGTACAAGTCAGTGTTTTTATCCTCCCAGACAAGTCTGGTACCAATTAACCGACCCCGGAGGGATGGAAGGCTTGGTTGGCCCGGGCGACTCACGACCCAGGATTTGATCCCCGGACCGCTCGCGTGGTAAGCGTGCCACTTGCCACTACACCACTTCCGCCCTATGGATTCTGGATAGATTTGCATATGCTAAAAAGGAAAGCTCGCCCGCCCCTTGAGGAAAGGAAAGTACCGACCGCAAACACCGCGCTAGCAACAATTCACTCATCCACATCCGAATTTACGTTGTGCCCCCGGTCCGCCAAACGAAGGGACAACATGTTCGTGGTGTGCCCTGTTCTGTCAGTTCTACAATCCACCAACTATGAGAAGCCAAGAAGCTAAGGGCACAGAGCACCTAAGGCAAGCCAGGAGAATAAGGTTCTTGCATAAGCCTAGAACTAAGGAGCTAAGGAATGGGCTAACTGCTCTTTCGGAAAATGGCAATTCTGTTTTTTTTGGAGTTTGGACACAATAGCACAGCATCATTTCTTCAAACACTATATGAAACAATGAAAAAAAACAGATTCACCTTATCCCAATACGTGTCAGTAAGGACGTCAAACGTGTAGTTCATAAAGAATGCACCGAAGGATGCAGCGAGGAAGAGAGTGGAGAATCGTCGAGTGATTTTCTGGTATACCAAGGATCCAACCGACATGTCTGAAGTTTCTTGCATACATAAAAATTTGGAAACGATGCAAGAACAAGATTTTAGAGTCATAGCTCGCTTCACAGCGCTTATCCTTCTCGAACTCAAAACCCTACAACAGATCAGAATCACGGCGTAATAAAATCTGATCTCCGAAGAGGCGCTAATAAGCATTATATAAACGAGAAAAGCGGCCACAGACAATCTTACAAGAAATAACAACCATAATGGTTGAGGTCTCACACAAGAAGAATAGCGGGAAATCTTATGTCATTGAAAAACATAGTCACGGTTTGCAAGATCATCCAAAGTTTCGAAATACAACATCACTTGACACCATATGATCATGCGAGATAGATTTTCTTCTCAGAAGAAGGCCAATGAAGATATGCAAATGTATAGTAAGATGCCAAAACTACCAAAATTACGTAACTCCCAGCATTAACACTTTGGAGACCGCGCGTGTTTTACGTTCCGCGGCCGCGCGGGACTTCGGTGAAATTTTTAGGGATCTTATCTAGCAAATTCAAAAGAAGAACCCACTGTATAATGCAGAAGAAATCTTATCGGATAAAATGGAAAAGAAAATGAATGAAAAACCTAATAATTGTTTCCGAAATGCGAGCTGAAAGGTCCTATGCGGTCGGAGGACTGCAGCCCACATATGGGCTGCGTGGGCTCCAAGGTGTTAAGCATCAAGAATGGAGCGGCATAGTTCGACATGGAATATTCATTCTTCATGGCTCATTCATAGAATTCAGTCATACAGTTGTTCATTCGTAGGATTACTGCGAATTTCAAAACTTCTATCAAGTCCACTTGGCAAGCCAAAAGAGGCACGTTCAAGTGCTATTGTCTGTTTTTCATCTTCTACGCAAGGCAATTCAACTTTCAACAAAATAATTTAGTGAACTGGAGCTAACACAACAATGTAGC